TGTTGTCTCCGAGTTACGCCCCTCACTACAGGAAACAAGTGACAACTACTTCCGTTCATGAAACCAAACCGGGTAGTCTTTTAGCAATTTTGTGCATTTTTCTTTTTGGTTGACGAAATGATCAGAAAATGAAGATATTTGTTTTAAACTTTAATTTCAACTATTTTTTGCAATAATATCAATGGATTTTAAATTTTTTTTTATTTTCTGGAAACAATAATAGTAAGTTAAGTAAACGTTAAATAGGGAATTATCTCCCTTTATGCTGATTCTGATTAGATTATGTATATTTTTTTAGTCTTTTTCGTCCTTGAAAAGGACTTTATCAGAAATGCATTATATATTTTTTCAGTTTTGACATATAGAAATCTATATATACACGGCTAATTTTTGATATATAGAAATTTATATACACGCACATATAAGTGGACTGAGGTCAACACCCAGCGGCAACAAGTAAACTTGTAAACCGTAAACGCAATTGTTAGAGATTGTTCTCATGTTTGATTGAACTTGAAGTTGATTGACAACGCCGGAATTAAAAACCAGTTGGCTAACTACACATGCAACAATCCTTGAAAAGAAAACGAATGTAGCAACATTCTGAAGTACTCAAGAAAAAAAATAATACAAAATAAAATTTAATAAGAATTTTAACAAATTTACTGATAACACAAAACAATTTGGAAATTTAAAAGATTTAAAAATTTGATAGACAGAACTTGTACATATTATTTAACTATATATATATATATATATATATATATATATATATAGTTAAATTATGGGCAAGTTCTGTCTATCAAATTTTTATTAAATCTATCTATCTATCTATCTATCTATCTCTCTCTCTCTCTATATATATATATATATACATACATAAATGGCCATTCGTTTGAGGATGCCCATGTATTAGAGTGGTTAGCCAATCCCTATTGCAGACGCTTGCACAGGCACATTTGTGTTTATACTGCAACTATACTGAACAGACCTTAGTTACAGTTTCTGGGAGAGAGAGTGTTACCTAGAGTGATCAACAATCTGAACACAGCTATCGATGACCACAAGTGTTCCGTCTACCCAATTTCGCTCACAAGGCTTGGGTCAAGCCACAGCATGGTTTTCAGGCACTTTCCAAAAGTGCAGCACACTGGGATCGCTTACCTCCTCCAGACTGATAACTTCAGGAAGTCTCCTTACTGACAAATTGACCATAGTGATATTCGAACCTGGGTCTCATGGTCAGAAGGCGAATGTTCTAACCAATCAGCCACACACACACACACACACACACATATATATATAGTTCATGTGTTATTGTTTTGTTTAAGTACTTTCAACCATCTCAGTCATTATCAAGAATAATACTCAGCACCTTATTTGAAAACTGGAAGAATACAATAAAAATTAAACAGACAACCTTGTCAGTTCTTCTTAATCAGAATCATTAAAATGAATACTTACTGCCTAAATATACCTTATATATTTAGGCAGCAAGTATGTATATATATATATATATATAGATAGATAGATACACAAGTTTCATTAAAAAGGACTGACAATTTACTGCAGTTAAGTTGTTTTTTTTAATTATTCTTGTTCTTATAATTTTCATCTTTTCTGGACACAAATAAAGTAGAAATTATCTCAATATTCTAAGTGTCCAAGTGCTTTCGCCTATATTTTGACCATTATCAAGGATGATTTTATTTTTACTTTTAACTGAATGTATGGAACTTTTTTTATGTATATATCTAGAGTTATAGAAATGTTTTATTTTCCAAACATGGTCAACATATTGTGGCTATGTTATTGAAGGTTCACTCTTTTTTTTCTTTACATTGATGCATTCAGTTAAAAGTAAAAATAAAATCATTCTTGATAATGGTTAAAAATGTATAGCTGAAAGCGAATGGACATACAAAACATTCAGACAATTTTATGTCCAGAAAAGAAGAAAATTATAAGAACATAAGAAAAATTAAATAAAAAACTTAACTGTGGCACACTGTCAGTCATTTTTAATTAAACTTTATAAAAGACAGATTGCTGGCCAAATAAATACTTATTGAATACATACATATATATATATATATATATATATATATCATTGAAAACAGCCAACAAGAAGATTTAATTAATCTCTTATTGAGTTTTTCCAGCATTCTAACATTTTTCTGTTTTTCAGGGGTTAAAGATTGTAGGAATTGTGTATAGTTATAATTGTTCCAAGCACTTTCACAATATATAAATATATATATATATATATATATATATATACATAAATTCTTGAAGTGCTCTCTATGAAAAATATGCAGCCAACACTAAATAAGATTAGTTATGAGTATAGCAACAATGTTTTAAAATGTTTTGGTATACTCAAATTGTAAAAATTTCTTTTTTTAAAATTGCAGGTTGAGTATTTTAAAACATTAATGATAAAAAAAATTAAATTAAGTTACCTCCCTTATATATTTTTAATGTTAATTTTTAAAATGATGAACAGAGTGCATTTACAAAAAAATTCACAACTACAAATTACATAAATTTTTTGTCTAAGCAATTCACCTCTGAAGATGATCTTGGATGAAATTGAAATTACTTGGAAAAATCAAAGAAATAATGAAAACTACAGTGTCTTTCTTAATCAGTTTAATGACAACACTAAGAAATTGATCCATGAATTTGAGAGAATTAAAATAAAAATAAATAGACAGCAACCAATCACGCTTGAATATATATGCAGGCATCTTTTAATTAGTGTGGCTAATTTGTACATTTGAAACTATAAAAAAATCAATTTTCAATTACTATGGTTAAACTAAATAATGTTTTATCATACTAATTGAGTATTATGTATGCACTAATCGAATTTTGGTATATGAAAATTTTAGTGCACTAATCGAAAATGCATTAATTGAATGTGGATTAATCAAGGGATGCCTGTATATGTATATATACATAGATATATATATATATTAAATCAAAATCCAGGTAGGCAGTGACCAACCACAACTGTTAGTTTCATGCATTTTTTTTAAATTAAAATTCGTTTGCAATTTACTATTATAATCACTTTATCCAACCGGCAAGTAAGTTAGTATTTTCTGACTCACAGAAACGCTATTATATGACCAGGAATCATTCCCACTTATTGATGAAGTATCATCATTTTCCTTGTCAGTTGTAAAACTGTAGTCTTAACGGCGGTTTTATTATTAGTGGGGAATAATGAAGTGCGTCACCGTAAATTCCGGTGTTGTGTATTTTACACGGTATTTGATCAGGAACAATGTTTTGAAACTTGAAAGCACAAGGAATACGGATACACACAGCTTAGACGTTGGTCGGGGCAGATAGCTTTGTTGAGTCGCCTTCAGTAATGAATTTATTTACCTAACATAGGAAATATTCGCAAAAAAATGCAAGTAATTTAAAGAAAATTTGGATCAACCATCCATCGTGGACATCTTTCAACAGGTAAAAATTATTATTTTTTTTTAATGAAAATAAATCTTGTTTGTCAATTTGACTCTTGGTGTCAACCATCGACACAGTTTTTTTTCTTTATTCGTTTATCTATGTTTCTCTCATATTCAAAGTGTGGCCTGTTTAAAAAAAAAATTCATAAATTATAAAAATAAAACAATACTCAGCTAGAAAGTATTCCAGCGACTCGATAAGCTTTTTGTGTAAATTAGAGTACCTTTCTTTCTCTTGAACAATTTGTCATTAAGGTGTGGTTTAAAAACTTCTGTAAGTCTAAGTATAGAAATCTTTCCTTTAGTTTTTTTTATATATACTTTTTCGCCTGAGCTTTGTTTTTTTTTTTTGAGGAAGCTAAAAGTTTCAATTGATCTCATTTTTGGGAATATAAGTGTTAAAAAAAAAATCTGTTTATTATTTATCTCCAAGTGCAAGACTTTAGACATTTTACTTTTTTTTTTTTTAGTATATTTAAAAAAAATATCTACAATTTAAATTTCTCCAACTCGATGTGTAGATTAGTTAGAAAATTAAGGAGACAGGGCAAACTGCTATCATGCCAAGCCAAACCATGTAGAAAAAGAGAAAAGAAAACTAAACGAAGTTTTAAAAAGAGACCAGAAAGCAGGGGTAGGTGGGTTTGTTTGATAAAACAAAACTTTTGAAGCAAATTTTAATATCGTTTTTAATTATTTTCTAATTAATACCTTTTCTCGGTTGTACATTTTTAAAATTTTATGATTATTGTTGGTATGACTGAAAAAGATTTTAAAAAGTAAATAACTTCGACTTGGCATCAGGGTCACGCTGTCAGATATGGGTCGGCAAAGGACTGAAAGCTGAGGTGTTGAGGTTTCTTCACAAATGTTAGCTTCGATTTTGAGTTCGATTCTCAGTGTGGCCGATTCTTGTATTCTGTCTCACTAAGCTCAGATGTACGTCTGGACGAAAACCTAAAACAATCAAACACATTTTTTATTGTAAGTATTTTTTTAAAGTAGCAACACCCATAACTGCACCAAAAAGACTTACTTTTTTTTAAGTTGGCTTGCTACTTGATAATTTACTCAGCTTAAGTACGACAGAAGGCCAAACAGACGAAAGAGTGCGTGCTAAAAATGTTATGTTAGTCATCCAAGTGGGGAAAAATAGCCCTAAAAAAACTAATCGAAGGAAGTTTATCGTTTCAGTAAAAGTAAAAATTTATATCACCTGGATTTTTAAATTCAGTGACATAATTAAACTTTAACTAATCGGTCCATTAGTGCGCTTCGGTGTAACAGTGAGTGAACTAATGGTTAGCGTGCGAATCGTATACTTTTTAAATACTGAGTGGTGAGTTCGAACTCTCATTGGGTGCAATATACTTCTGCCAAACTAAGTTAAGTAAGTTTATAACAGCAAAAATGGTTCACTCATGACAGTTAACTTAACATAACAAGTTGAACATTCCAATGATTATTTTCTCGTCTCCCAATTCAATTTAGAGACAACTAAAAAAATATTTTAAAAAGTTTTATAATCCTTTCTTCCTCCTTATCTTCTTTTTTCCGACCGACTCCATTTTTTTTTTTTTTTTTTTTTCCCTTTTCTTCTCCCCACCTCTCCCGTTTTCTTCTCCCCCACCTCTCTGTTTTCTTCTCCCCCACCTCTCCCGTTTTCTTCTCCCCCACCTCTCCCGTTTTCTTCTCCCCCACCTCTCGTTTTTTCTCCCCCCTCTCCCGTTTTCTTCTCCCCCACGTTTCTTCTCCTCCCGTTTTCCGTTTTTTTCTCCCCCACCTCTCCCGTTTTCTCCCCCACCTCTCCCGTTTTCTTCTCCCCCCCCACCTCCCCCTCTCCGTTTTCTTCTCCCCCCACCTCTCCCGTTTTCTTCTCCCCACCTCTCCCGTTTTCTTCTCCTTTCCCCCCGATCAATGTCTACCCATAGGTTGCAATATAAAAAAAGAATCAACATTAAATAACCCAACATGGGTTGATGTAAAATCCATCATTCCAGCCAAGCCCTCTGTCTCACTTATTTTAATTTTTTCAAGCAAAAATTAATTATATCCAATCATAAAATTATTTTACAAAAACTTTAAAAACAATCAGAACATGGTATTTCAGATAAATGTGTAACACTAATTTCTCTCTATAGGATACAATTTAATTGGTGACAATAACTTTTTTCTTTTTTTTTTTTTTCAAGTGATTATTTTCTGTAACCTTTTCAAAATAGAAAAGAGTTTGATGCGAATTGTGGTAATTAGTTAATTTGATTTTTCTAGCTCTAGATTAAAAAATAATTCCTTAATTTTAAATTTTAATAATATTTGTTTTAAAAATTAAGACCTAGTAATAAAAATGTCATGATGGTAAAATTCCTCAAATTGTTGTGTCCTTTTAGGATGTGAATGATCATGACCCTTCACAACTTCCAATCCTTTATATCTTTGAGCAATATTTCTTTTTATTATCCTTCCCATTCTTTGTTCTACCATCCACTTACAAAAGTTCCGTTTCCTTTTATCCTCTCTTACTTTCAATATATCCTGTGAGTGTCAAATTTTTCAAATTTTCTTTTCTAAAAAAAATTTAACTGTCACTTTCTGATTTTAAGTACAAATGCCCTTTTTGTTCCTGTTTTTTTAAAAAACTTCCTTATTGATCACATGCTCTGTCTATGGTATTCACAGCCTTCTTCTGCAGAGCCAAATCTCTGTTGGCTCAAGTTTCCTTTTCATCTGTGAGGAAAATGTCCAGCATTCACTGCCATACAGGAGGATTGATATTACATAGCAGCCTAACACTCATTACTTTGTTTCTAATATATATCTTAATATTTTGTTTATCTTTCCTGAAGGCAGTTTTTGCTATTCCAATGCACCTTCAGATTTCTGTATCACGTCTTCTGCCATCTGTTAAATTTCTGTATTTGCTTGATTTTGACATCTCCATTTTGTAGCTCACATCTTCGACTGTCATTTTTGCTAACAATCATACAGTTTATCTTTTTTAGATTAGTCATTGTTTACACTGCTTCATTTAATAAAAGTAATATTACTATTAAAATTAGTTCATTAAAATATGTTGGCATTGTTTATTTCTGTGTTCAGGATGAAGTTAACTTATTAATTAGAATTAATAATAATAAACAATGTTTCATCACAGAAAGAAAATATAGATATTACAATAAAAAGCAACTAAAATTAATGGAGTTTTCTTTTTTGTGGCGTGTCCCTTCCTATTCCGCCATCCGTTTACACAAGCTTGTTAAGTAGGTTGATCATTGCTCTCCATAACTTGCTATTCTTCATAGATCTAAGCAATGTTTGTCTCTTTTCTATCTCTACCAATCCATGTACTGCCATCAATTTACATTAGGTAGGTTACTTGATGTTTCCCTCTACCCTTCAATATGTGTTGTGTGTGGCAAATTCTCTAAGCTCTCTTTCCTCAGCACGAATCCCAGAAATTTTAACTATATTTTCTGATTTTAAGCTAAAGTGTTCTTTTGGTTCCCATTTTTATTAAAACTTCCTCGTTGCTCACATGCTCTGCCTATGGTATTCTCAACATTCTTCTGCAGAAACAAATCTCTGTTGCCTCAAGTTTCTTATTCATCCGTGAGGAAAATGTCCAGCATTCACTGCCATATAGCGTTGATATTACATAGTAGTTTAACACTTTTTTTATACTAATGAAAGATAAATTACTATACCTTGAATTAACAAATAAATGATAACAACTGTTTTAATTATTTTTTTAAAATTTCATAAAATCTTGATGTTATGTTTTATTATCACAGAAAACTATTAAAAAAAAAAAAAATTTTGTTTGAACAGAAAATAGAATAAGAACCTATGAAGTAGCCATTGAGAAAGTAAAATTGATTTTCAAAATACCATTAAGACAGGTGGCAGATGATTTTTTTTTTTTTTTTTTTTTTTAAAGTTCAAGAAAATAATATTGCTAGAGAAAGTGACAATTGCTCATTAAAATATTGAATTATTTATTTGTGTATTTAATTTTTTTTCTGGGAAGTGTTCTAAAAACATAAGATATGCAAATGACGCAGTGTTGATAGCAGATGCAAAAGGAAACTGCAAAAGCTCCTACAGAAGGTCAGTCAGTTATGTGCCATGCATGATACACACTTAGGCAATCATGTATCTTTTAATACATGACTGACGAGGCAGATTTTTTCCCCACAGTAGGTTGCTATTTCTTTCTGTGGTAGACCAGTTGCCATCCAAGGCTATAGAACCTGGTCTGTCCTGCTATTTACCCATAGCTGGGGGGGAGAAGAGGATTCATACCTTTCCTAAGGGTATTAGCATGAATGGATTTGACTGGAACAAACTCGGCTCTCCGATTCCTCAATCTGAGCCTCTATCCATTGCTCCACCATACCTCCTCTTACAGAAGGTAGCAAAGAAAAATGAGAAGAAGAGACTAAATATAAACTACAAGAAGACAGAACGCATGGTTGTCAGCAAAATGGTGAGTCCAAAATGCAAATTACAAATTGGGTATACTAAAATCAAATGAGTACAAAAATTTAAATATCTGCGAAGTGTTCTAACAGAGGATGGAAAATGTGACACTGAGATCTGAAGGCATATTGGGATGGCCAAAGATGCATTCCAAAAGCTAAGCAGAGTATTAAGAAACAGAAAAATTTTGTTAGAAATAAAGAAAACAGAGTATTGTAATAACTGTCCTCTTGTATGGCATTGATTGCTGGACAATCTCAAAAATGAAGAAAAGACTTAAAGCAGCAGAATGTGGTTCTACAGAAAGATGCTGAGGATACCATGGACCAAATATGTGAGCAATGACAAAGTTTTGGAGAAAATGGAAACAAAAATGAAACTTATACTTAACATCAGGAAGAGGCAGTTGAAATTTCTGAGGAGGGAGGGTTTGAAAAATCTGATACTCACAGGACAGATTGAGGGGAAAGAGGGACAAAAGAAAGCAGGATGTAACAATGATGAGCTTGAGCACATGAATGGTAGAACTGGGTTTGGGAGAAATAACAAAAAGACACTTTATTAAGTGCTACAAGGAACAGGAAGATGTGGAGGGCCATGATCGCCTGCATCCTAAAGGGATATGGCACATAAAAAAAGAATTTGTGTATTTATTTGCTTGCTTTCAGAAAAATTAATCTGTACTGAATTTGTTTTTATTTTACCTCACCTTAAATAAAATCTTAGAAAAAATTTAATTTCTACAAGAGATAAACTAACAATTAAATCAAGGCCTTCTATTCATCTACTAAAATAAAATATTTGCTCTTTGTACAATCTATGCCTGGGATAAGTCTAGACTTTGCAAATCATTCTCCTTCCACTCCTATTTCCATTGTAGTCAGTCCTGAACTTGTGGTATCTTACCACTAAATTAGAAGTAAAGTTGTCAATTCAGTTTCTATTTTTATAACTTGCTTCATGCTAGAACTGGCAGTTACTAATAAGGACTTTTTTTTTTTTTTTTAAATCTTATATATATATATATATAGGGAAGAGATTTTGATTGCTCTTACTGTATTAGAGTGAATCAATCTGTAGTCTGATATGCAGCTGAATTATGATCTGAAATTTTTCACTGTGTAGTGATTAATAGTCACCACTGAATTAAGTGCATTAACAAGGAAGAAGATTATAAGATTATGTTAAAAAATAAATGCTTTGTTTTTTTTGTTTTTTTTTCTCAATCATTAAGTTATAGATTTATTGGTTTCCCTATATGATGAGCTAAACCATTATGACCATCTGCCCAATAATGTATTGGTTCTCAGCATGCCTGCAAAATAGCTTTTACTCAATATCAGGAAGGGACAAAAAAAAATTGAAAATTCATCTGGAATTAAGTGTCATTTGAAAGATGTTTTTTTTTGTTTTTTTTTTGTTGTTTTTAATTCCAGAATCTGAATGAAGCATAGTACAAAATGAAAATTTATGCAAAAATAGAAGTACTGATAATTGAGAAAAAAATCATCTTTCTTAAATCAGAAAATATGTAAATATTTATAAAATAGATTATAATAATAATGATGTAAATTTTTTTCTTAAGGTTCCATTTTGTTTACTCATGGTAAAGGGTTGGGGATACTGGTGTCATGTAACAAAATCTATTGCCTTGCTGCATTTTTTTTTTTTTTTTTTTTTTTTTTAAAGAAATCATGCCACTTAATGATGTTCTAGGCAATCTTTTTCAATTTAATTGAATTTTGAGGATCTGCTGAGCAATTAGGGGATGAATCTGAGGTTTTACACATTTTACATAAAAATGCAATAATTCTAACATTACAGAATTTTTATTTTTTATTTCTCCTTGCTTTAGTTGCATTGTTTCCCAATTTAAATCAGGACTGTGGAGTCAGAGAGTCAGTCAGAAGCAATTAAGGGGTCACTGGAATTGGTAAAACTATACTGACTCCAGTTGAATTTACACTTTATCTAAAAAGTCTAACATTACAGAATTTTTATTGTTATTTCTTCTACTGTATATTTACTATTTCCTTTAAAGAAATTCATCTCAACTCCTTTCTTAAAGTCATTTTACTTTTTTGTGGTTATTTTGCATTTTCAAATGTAAACAAAATCTTACATTATAGAATTTTTATTTTTGTGATATCTTTTACATCCTGTAAAAGATTATATTTCAACTTCTGTTATAAAGTAGTTTTATTTTTGATCTGTATTTATTTCTTATTTGCAATATATATACACTGCATGCCAAATTATGATCTGTGCAATGTAAACAAACTAGCACCATATTTATTATCAGCACGGTGATTTGAGTGTGCCAAATTATTAGAAAAGTTTAGTAAAATTCCCAGAATTGATCAAACAAAACATTTATTAATGTTGCACATGAATGTTTATGATCAAAAGAAGCTAATAATCAAACAAATAATAACAGATACAAACAAAGGCA